AACCAATGTTTTCCAAGCATGTGCAAGAAGCCATGGTATGAGATAGGAGTTCAACAAGATATTGAGATGAATGACTAGATGGATATAATTCACAGTTTAAAAGACTGATATGATTTGATAATGTTCATGAAAGTATCTAAGCACAAAGGGATAGTGTGTTTCGGAATATTTGTTTAACTGTGTAAAGATGTGTTGCATTTGTTTATGTTGCAGAATATTTGTTCAACTATGTAAAGATGTGTTGCATTTGTTTAATTATGTAAATATGTGTTGCTGCTTAAGGCACCTGATTGGTCTAATAAAAAGCTGAATGGCCAATAATGAGGGAGGAGGTATAGGTGGGACTTCCAGGCAGGGAGAGTAAGTAGGAGGAGGAAGTTGGGCTTGAAAAAAGAAAGAAAAAGAAATGCCAGGGAGATGCCAGGGAGCAGCCAGCCAGACTTGGAGGAAGTAGGAAAGCAGGACATACAGAATGAAGGAAAGATAAGAAGCCCAGAGGCAAAATGTAGGATAGAAGCAGGTTAAGTTTAGTTGTTAAAGGCTAAGCATTTATAATTAATAAGTGTCTGTGTCTTTATTTAGGAGCTGGTTGGCAGCCCAAAGAAGACTTCAACTACAAATGGCACCTAATGTGTGACCTGAATTTTCACATTGGGCTTGAGAAAGCCCAAAAAGAAAAACAAACAAAGGCTATGGCTCCTTTAAGAGGCGCTGCAGTGCAGCAGAGCACTTGAGCAGCTGGCACACAAAGTAGAAACAGCGAGCTAAGTCAAAACACCTGCCACAGTGTGGACACCAACTTCCTAGAGCTGGGGTGGTTAAATGCAGCTCTTGGATAATCACAGCTCCCAGTTAAAGGCAGCTCTTGGCCAGGCCCATGGGCTTAAATCCTGGCTGTTAAGTCCTCAAGGAGGGGGTTCAAGGCCTACCTGCTGCTAAGCATCTTAAGGTTTGGCTCACATGGTCAGAGAATGTTACAGGTGCATAGTAAAACGGGTTCAGACCAAAAATACCTTTAAACAGGTTACAGTGTGCATAATGTGCTTAAGGAAGAAAAGAAAATGTGTATAGATAGTTATAGAAAAAAAAGTAGTTTAAAAATAATTAAGTAAAGTCTTTAAAAAAAGAGTAAAGTAATATAAAAAGAATAAGCTATATAAAGATGGGAAATACACAGGGCATCTGGATCCTGTATCTTGCTGTGTTGACTTTGAATTTTTGAATGCTGATGAGCAAATGGCAGCAGTTGAGAGACATGGGATTGTAAAAGGAACTGCTGAATTAAACCAGCCTAGATACTTTAGGGATGTCTTAACTTTAAAATTGAATTCAAGGCTGGGCGAGGTAATCTAGCATGAGGAACAGGTTCCCAAAAGCCAGCTAAGCATGCCAGGGACAGGTCATGATCTCACTGCTAGGAGCCTCACAGCCAGACCAAGCTACACAATGCAGAGGGCCTAGGTCTGTCCCATGCAGGCTCCCTAACTGTTGGTCCAGAGTCCATGAGCGCCCGTGAGCTCAGGTCAGCTGTCTCTGTGGGTTTCCCCGTCATGACCTTGACCTCCCCCTTCAGCTCATACAATCCCTCCACCTTTCTTTGGCAGGACTCCCAGAGCTTGGCCCTGTGCTTGACCTGTGCTCTCTGCATCTGCTTCCATCAGTTACTGGATAAAGGCTCTCTGATGACAATTGGGGTAGTCACCAATCTGATTATAGAAGATAGCCAATTCAGGCACCCTCTCCACTATTGCTAGGAGTCTTAGGTGGGGTCACCTGGTGGATTCCTAGGGATTTCCCTCTTGCCAAGTTTCTTCCTAGCCTCAAAATGCTCCCCCACCGCCCATCAAGATGCCTCTTTCATTACTCTCCCTCTCTGTCCATTCCCCCAAGCCCCCTCCTCCACACCCCCAGTTTACCCAGGAGATCTCTTCTATTTCTCCTTCACAGGGAAATCCATGCATCTTTCTTTGGGCCTTCCTTGTTATCTAGACTCTCTGGGGCTGTGGATTGTAGGTTGCTTATCTTACACTTTACTCCTAGTATCCACTTATGAGTGAATACATTCCATGTTTGTCTTTCTGGGTCTGGGTTACCTTACTCAGAATGATTCTTTTCTAGTTCCATTCATTTGCATGCAAATTTCATGATATCATTGTTTTTTACAGCTGAGATTAATACTCCATTGTGTAAATGTACCACATTTTCCTTACCCATTCTTTGATTGAGGGGATCTAGGTTATTTCCAGGTTCTATCTATTAAGAATAATGCTGCTCTGCTGGGTACCGGCTCCTTGCTGTCGAAATGGGCAAGTTCATGAAACCCGGGAAAGTGGTGCTGGTCCTAGCCGGACACTACTCCGGACGCAAAGCCGTCATCGTGAAGAACATTGACGATGGCACCTCAGACCGCCCTTACAGCCATGCCCTGGTGGCTGGAATTGACCGCTATCCCCGAAAAGTGACAGCTGCCATGGGCAAGAAGAAAATCGCCAAGAGGTCAAAGATCAAGTCCTTTGTGAAAGTTTATAACTACAATCACCTCATGCCCACGAGGTACTCTGTGGACATCCCCTTGGACAAAACAGTTGTCAACAAGGATGTCTTTAGAGACCCAGCCCTGAAACGCAAGGCCAGGCGGGAGGCCAAGGTCAAGTTTGAGGAAAGATACAAGACAGGGAAGAACAAATGGTTTTTCCAGAAGCTTCGCTTTTAGATATATTTTTGTTCCCATCATTAAAAAAAAAAAAAAAACTTGAAAAAAAAAAAAAAAAAAGAATAATGCTGCTAAGAACATGGTTGAACAAATGTCCTTGTAGTATGATTGAGCATTCTTTGGATATATGCCCAAGATTAGTATAGTGGGGTCTTGAGGTAGATTGATTCCCAATTTTCTGAAAAACCACCATACTGATTTCCAAAGTGGCTGTACAAGTTTGCATTCCCACCAGCAGTGGAGGAGTATTCTCCTTACTCCACATCCTCTCTAGCACTGGTCCTGCTTCAACTTGATGTGCCATGCTTTATTCAAACCCATGGGAGGCCTGCCCCTTTCTGAATGGAGATGATGGAGGAGAAGTGGAAGGGGAGGGGGTAAAGGGGAGGTGGAGGGAAGAAACAGGAGGAGAGGAGGGAGGGTAAACTGTGGTTGGTATGTAAGATAAATGAAAATTTTTTAATTAATTAAAAAAGAATTAAAAATTTGAAGCTCAAAATTATAATTATGAGGGATTAAGTGGGTATTTGAGCTGGGGTTCTATGGAGAATTGTTTCTTTGTTTGTTTTTTCGAGACAGGGTTTCTCTCTGTAGCTTTGCACCTTTCCTGGAACTCACTCTGTAGTCCAGGCTGGCCTCAAACTCACAGAGATCTGCCTGCCTCTGCCTCCCTAGTGCTAGGATTCAAGTCATGTGCCACCATCGCCTGACTGAGAATTATTTCATTTGTGCTAACTTAAATGCATGCAATTTGTTGTGACTATAACTAACATGGTTGGCATCCTATAAAGTAGAAATAGGGATTGAAGCACCACTTCATTTGAATCTTAAATCTTTTCTGAATTGGTGCCAATTGCCAAGCCTTACTTAAAGAAAGGTCTTAGGGAAGATGAAAGGGTGAACTGAGAAACAAGAAAGAAAAATCCACGTAGCTTTGGCTCCTTAGGATGAGGGCTGCCCTCAGCTTCTGCTCGAACTACAGTCGAGCACCTAACAATTCTCAGGAGCAGAAAGAAATAGTGATTTTATATTTATGAATAAAAGATCGTGCAAGTTAAGTGATTGTTGAGATTCTTTTTTTTTTTTTTTTTGGTTTTTTTTTTGGTTTTTCGAGACAGGGTTTCTCTGTGTAGCTTTGCGCCTTTCCTGGGACTCACTTGGTAGTCCAGGCTGGCCTCGAACTCACAGAGATCCACCTGGCTCTGCCTCCCGAGTGCTGGGATTAAAGGCGTGCGCCACCACCGCCCGGCGATTGTTGAGATTCTTGTTGAGCAATATAAAAGAAAAATATAAGAGACTGAGATGACTACATGATAAAATGGGTTTTAGAGAATAAAATGGAAAAAATATTAAGAAATATTGATATGGGAAAAATGATTACAACTAGGTAAACAGAAGGTACAAGTTAAAAATCATAGAATAAGGGGGCTGGAGAAATGGCTCAGTGCTTAAGAGCACTGGATGCTCTTCCAGAGGACCTGGGTTTGATGTCCAGTACTCATATGGCAGTTCATAATTGTCAGTAACTCTAGTCCCAGGAGGTATCATGTATGCCCTCTCTGGCCTCTGTGGGCACCAGGCATACATGTGGTGCACATACCCAGGCAACACACACATACACACAAACACACACATAATGAAAATGATAAAATCTTTAAAAAATTGAAAACTAAAGCCATACTTGACAGGTAAAATAACGTCCATGTTGCATCCTTGGTGGACAGTGTTGGGGCTGTGACAGAGGGAAGTGCAAGTAGATAGATACCTCTGAAACTTCCTACAACCTTTCTCAAATTACAGGGGGCCCAACAGCCTCTTCCGGCCTCCTAAGGCACCAGGCACACTGTAGTACACAGACATACATGTAGACAAAACGTCCATACACATAAATTAAAATATATACCATAGGGTAAAAGTGGTAAGAGTGTGGAAGCAGTGCTTGGCAACTCATTTCTACAGTATGGAGACAAGAACATATGCTGTTTTTTAAGGAGGAAATACATCCACACTGACAGTTAAAAAGCTAACGAGAGATCTCAAACTAAAGTAGATATCCAGAAAATGTCTCTTACTTTTGTTCTCCTTAGTGTCCCTCAAAGATTCTTTCAGCTTAGAATGGACACCAGCCTCCCTCACTCTCTTATGCCCTGAGTCTCAAAAGCAACTTTTTAAATGCCAGTTTTCAAAGCATGCTGCCCCGAGCGCTTCCTCCCAAAACAGAAAGTGAGGCGCTTTCCCCATCCCGGCCCTTTCATTTAAAACTTTGATTTCTTGATGTCTTTATTACCTGAAACGTGTCCCAGGGCTGTGTGGAGTGCTTTACCCTGCTCTGAGGCTCAGCAGGGAAACCAAAGCAAGTCTGGAGAGACTGGTTGGCTGGAAGGCAAACCGATAAAATTTTAGTTTTTAAACTTATGTATAAAATGTTGTTTCATTGCAAATACATCAATGTTCAGCATTTTATTTTTTAAAAAATCTTATTTTCTAAAAGGCCACTGAGAATACATTCTTATATTAAATGACACCAGACGGTGTTTGTCTAACTGTACCACAGATATCCACTTTTCAACTGACGTAGGAAAATTTTAAGTTTTAAGAAAAATTCCCCAAACACGGACCCTCATATATTCAAGATGATGGTCAAATGGTAGGACTTGAATTCTTAACCAAGGCCCAGTTCAGGTGTCTGCACTGAGTGGCTGTTGAGAAGAATTCACCAAGGCACCTCCAGAAAAGAAACATCTTCTTTGGAGAAACTCTAGAACCAAATGAATTTTTAAAAATTGGACTTCCTGAACAAAACACCATGCATTCTAACTTACAAACTTGAAATTGTCCGAGCATGCTTATCTGAGGTGAAATACACCTTACGGTGTTCTGAGCATTTGAAATAAAGGAAAATAAATACATGTTTATTTGTTTCATAACTCACTTCTGGGGTCAGCTAACCTTAGACATCTAAACCCTTTTGCAGGTAATTTTGTCTGTGTTCCCTAATGAGATGCAAATGACTTTCTGGCAGTGTGAATGACATCCTTAGATGTCACAGGACATCTGTGCACAGTCAGTGTGGAGAACACACTGGTGTAGATTGTTTTATATGTCTGTTATTTAGCTTAATACCCTATGATTATTGGATTTAGAAGAAATGAAACTCCCTTTCCAGATATTATCCTCTGTCTTTGAAATGCTAAAGGGACAGGCTTTGAAACGAGTTTTGGGGATGGTCTTGAGTACCTCTCATCACACAGCCATGTGTCACTCGAATCAACTCACTCAGCCTCAGCCCTTGCATAGCTGTGTCTTCTTCTGCCCTTTCATTCCCAAAGCTTGATACTGCATAGGACGTCGTTCCAGTGCCACTCTCTCCATATAGTTTCTGGATTAGAACTAAGATATGGGATATTTTTCCATAATAATTCATCTAACTTGAATTGTCAAAATCTAATCCTCACAATCACCACTGGCATTTGGTTTTATAAAATGAACAAAGCTATCAATTTTGCCACACTCCAAGCAGGATTACAAGCATTCTTTAAGCCACTGAACATCCCAAAGATTAAGGAAAATGCCCTGATAACTTTAACCAAAAGACCACATGGAGAATAATCTTCTGTCATCCCGAGAAATGATAAAAGGCATAATTATGCAGGAGGAGACAGACACACATTACACAGGATGGGGTGATCCTCACTCCCTGCTCCATTTGCTGGTTCTGAAGTGCTCTGAGGCAACACATGGCTTTAAAGTCACTATAGAACAAGTAACAAGCAAACACAACCTCAAAGATAATTTAATGTTATAGTCATTCATGTTCTGTATAATCTTTCTTAATATTTAAGGAGAAAAATCTATTCTTAAAGCATGTGGCCTCCACACCATTCTAACCTCACCTCCCGTTACTACTGGGACTGTGTGAGAACTTCATTTTCTGTTTGCAGATATTTCAAAGTTATATGCAAACTTCAGCCTGCTTAATATTTAATAAAACAGATCCCCTCCTGTCTCTTACATGATGTGAACATAAGTAATAGCAAGTTAATATAAGAAATAAAAATAAAACTGGAGTTACTTATGTGTATACATGCATGGTATAAACATAAATTTATATGACCTAAGATGTTTTCATTTAAAACTTTCTTTTTTGTTCAAAGCTTATTAAGTACCATTATTTACAGTTGTTGAGACTTGTGAGACTGGGATCTTTCTTTCAGCTATGGCTTTACTCTCTGATTCTTTCTGGTATGACCACATTTTCTATTATTTCAAACACAGGTTTTTTATTAAAATGAATGAACACCCAAAGACACTTTAAAACAATGTAAGTGCAAAATCTTTAGTGATTGAAATATTAGTTTACTGCAATCTCTCATCCTATTTTTCACCTATCTAATAGCATTTGATAGTATTTATAAATGATTTCTTGTGAAATATGTCAAACATACATGTACATGTACAGTCTCAGGAATAGTATAACATGGCGGAACACACTGTGTAAGTTGCTGTGACCAAATGCCTTACAAGAAGCAACTCAAAGGTTGTGGTTCAAGAGATATAGTCCTTCGTGGCAGAGAAGGCAGAGCCGGGGACCTGCCCCTCCTATGGCAGCTAGAGCCCACTCACCCACGGTGCCCGCTCACCCACGGAGCCTGCTCACCCACTTTAAATGCCTTCCAACTTTAAATTTTGGTTCTTATTCTTGTTTCTTGCTGTTGAGCTTTTGGGGTTCTTTATATATTCTGGCTACCAATCCCTTGTCAGGTATATCGTCTGCCATCTTTTCTCCCATTCTGTAGGCTGTCTCCCTCTGTGGACTATCTCCTTTGCGGCCCTGAGGCTCCCTCATTAACACAGTCATCCATGTCTGTTTTTACTATGGTTTCCTATGCTTTAGGAACCTTGTCCCCAAATGTCTGTGTCCATCACCATGTCATGGAACATTTCTCTTATATTTTCTTCTATGTATTTTGTAGCTTCAATTCTTTTTTTTTTTTTTTTTTGGTTTTTCGAGACAGGGTTTCTCTGTGTAGCTTTGTGCCTTTCCTGGAACTCACTTGGTAGCCCAGGCTGGCCTCGAACTCACAGCGATCCGCCTGGCTCTGCCTCCCAAGTGCTGGGATTAAAGGCGTGAGCCACCACCGCCCGGCGTAGCTTCAATTCTTTGATCCACTTTAACTGATTTCTTTTTAATTGGTGAGAGCCTTGTCTCTAGCTTGAATACTGTGCAGTGGTCATCCAATTTATTCAGCAGTGTTTTTTATAAAAAAAATATTTGCCAGGTGATGATGGTGGTGTACGCCTTTGATCCCAGCACTCGGGAGGAAGACACAGGAGGATCTCTGTGAGTTTGAGGCCAGCCTGGCCTACAGAGCGAGTTCCAGGACTATACACAAAGAAACCTTGTCTCAAAAAAAAACTATATATATATGTGTGTGTATATATATATATATATATATATATATATATATATATATTCCTTATCTAGTCCATGTTTCTAAGGATGCATCACTGTTAAAATTAGCTGGTTGTAGAGTTGTAGATATGTGGGCTTGCTTCTGGGATCTCTGTTTTGGTCCATCAGCCTGTGTCTGATTTTATGTCAGTACTCTTCTGTTTTGATTATAGACATTTGCAGAAAGTTTTATAGTTAAACAGTATAATGACCCTTGCTTTGTTCTTCTTGCCTCAAATTGTTTGGCATATTGGTAGTTTTTCATGATTCCATATAAACTTTCCATGAACATTGTTATTGGTATTCTGATGGGAGCTACATTAAATCTGTAGTCACTTTGGGTAGTATGCATTTTTTTTAAACAAAATTGCTTATTTCAACCCATAAGAACAGGAGCTCTGCTCACGGGTCTTCTTTAATTTCTTTTCTCTCCCTGCCTCCTCCTCTTCTCATTCTTTTTCTCTCTCTTCCTCCTCCTTCAAATTCTTGGCTGTTGTGACTGGAACAATGTCTCTTCAACATGTTTTTACTCTTTGTGATTCCTCCTCCTTTCCTTCCTCAGGCTGGGGGTTGAACCCAGCAGGCCAGTGCTAGGCCAACACTTTCCCACGGAACTACCATGTAGCAGCTCCCCTGGATCATACTCCTGCTAGGATCAGCTGTCCCTAGCTGTCCCTATCTTGGGCCATGAGTTCTGTTCAGCAATCGGCCATTCATAACAACATGGGCCTGAGGCCAGGCCTAGCACTGTGTTGATCTTGCTGGGCTCAGGTCACGATAGAGTTTTGTTTATTGAGGCCGTGGTTACACCTACCCTGAGAGCTTGGGGCTGCTCCCTTCACAGCAACCATTAAATCACACGGTTCTGTTGGCTGTGGGAGAAGCCTCCTTAAGTTGGAAGATAACTGTTGGAGACAGTCCTTTGTCCGCAAGGCTGACACTAAGCTGGAAGCACCTGAGACTTACAGATGCTGAGGGCTGCAGTGTCTGGAGGAGGGTACAGGTCTCTCTACCTAACGTGGCCACCAGTCTATGTCTGTTATCTGTAAGCCGCAGTCTCTGTAATGGGCCTTCTGCTTGTGCTGGGTGCTTCGCCTTGCCTTGTCAGGCTAGGCTCTGAACTCCACGACCAAGTCCTGTGCTCGCTTCTCCCCAGCAGGTGGCGATATGCCTGCTACTCTGGAGCCCAAGGTTGAGGAAGTGTGGTGGAAGCGACCGCAAACCTGAGTGAGTGAGTTGCACTTGAGTTTCAACTGCAGGAGTCTGTATGGTCTGTGGAGGAGGGCAGGTGTGCCCCCGGCCTGCTTCAGGGCTAGGAGAAGACTGGGCATATGCCGGCAGGGGCATGTGTTTACCTAGCTCCGGTTTTCACCATGGGGGACCTGGTGCGGGCTTTCTGGCGTGCACCCTGGACTTCAGGATTTTTCATAAGGGACATGATACTGGTTATCATCAAGCTTTGTAGGGATGTCTGAGCCTGCTAAGAGGACTGGTGCTTATTTCTACTTCAGGGAACATTTCACATACAGTTTTCACTCAGGATCTATTTTATGTACAAAATTCACTCGGGATTTTGCTTATGGACACATACATTTTTAATATGTTTTTATCTTTTGAGATTTTTATATACATACAATGTATTTTGATCATATTCATCACTCAGTCACACCTCCCAGATCCACTCTACCCCCTCCCAGCGTCATGTCTTCTCCTCCCTCCCTCCCTCCCGGTCTTCCTCTTTTTCTCTCTTTCCCTTCCTCTCTCACTCTTGCTTCTCTCTCCCCACCTCATGACAGCCCACTGAAGGAGCACGGACTCAGACTCACATGAACATGTCTTGTGGTCACATGACTTCAAGGGAGCGTCTTCTCCTGTGTGATGCCAAGGATTTACTTCATTTTCACTGTTCTCAGATGGGATCCTGTGGAATAGCAGCCCTATTCTGTTTCTAGTGTGAGAGTGCCCGGTTTCTACCGGGGATCTTAGTATTACAGCTCCTGTCTAGAGCAAGCCCTCCCGTGTACATCCTACACATCACCTGTGCGGTTGCCAGAGTGCAAGTTCAAGGCTTCCCAAACCCAACAGTCAGGAAGAAGCATCACCCACACTCGCTTATCGCATATTATGGGGTTCACCTCATCTCTGGGCTTGCCATATCTTTACTTCAGTGCCTGTGTGTAGAAACTTTTTTCTTTTTAGAACAACTTCATTGAGCTATAAGTCACAGACCATAAGCATTTATCCCTTTAAAGAACACTATTCAGATAGTTCAGTGGGTAAAGTGCTCGAGAATCCAAGTTCCACCATGCACCCACTTAAAAGCCAGGCTCAGGAGTGGACATCTCTAGGGAGGCAGACAGGAGAATCACTGGGCTCATGGGCCAGCCACTCTAACCGGATACCCAGTCCCAGTGAAAGACTCCATCTTTAAAGAAATATAATTCAGTGATTTTGAGTATTTTTCAGAGTTTTGCAACTTTTGCCATGATAGAATTTTAAGACATTTTCTTCATTCCCAAGAAACATCCAGAAACTATTTCCCAAAGACTGCTTTGGTTCCCTTGAATTGCCTTGGTGCTCTATCAGAGGTCGGTTGGCCATAAACACGGGTTTTATTTCTGACCACGGGTTTATGCTTGCATAGTATCTGCAGATTTTCAGTAAGCTTTGTTTTTAAATCTTGCATTTTAATTATTTCTATTAGAAGGTGCTTTTGTTGTCTGTCATCTTCATATTGTTGTATGTTCAAGATGCTAATTCTGTATTCACAGCAGACTGCTACAGCAAGAGTTCAGAAGCATTTGGCTCAGCTTTGTTCTCCTTCCTCATCGTGTACAAAGGCATAAAAATATACCAGCAGAGCAGTCTTCATCCAGTGGGAAAGCAGATCGGAGTTCTGTTGCCTGCTTCTGTGTGCCCGCATTGCACGGGCATGTACTCTTTCACAGACCGTCAGTATCTAGAGTTTATGGCTCTCGTTGCCACTGTGTCTTTATCCTTTCATTTACAGCTACCCGCCCCTCGTCATCCTTTACTGCAGAGGAAACAACTCTACACACTTGCCATTCAGCCTTTCCCCAAACCCAAAGGCCACACAGCAGCCGTGGCTGAAGAGGTCTCTGGATTGGGTGTCTTTCCCAAATGAGAAGGCAGAGGCTTGCTACACACAACAAATTTTTTGTTCTGCTGTTCATAGTTTTTCCTTTTCCTTTCTTATCTAGGTTGGAATGCAGACTAGAAGCTGGAGCAACTGTATTGTCCCCGTAAGGTGACAAGAAGGAAGAAAAGGCTCCTGAACATCCTCATGGTGATAACACCTGCTCCCTTGCAGCATTGTCTGAGTGCTGCAGCAAGTCAGGGTTGCCCCCGAGAATGCTTGATACATCAAATAAATACTGCATGTCACCAAATCAAAGATGCTGTTTCCTGTGACACCACCATTGTTCTGTTAAGTCTACCTCCCACTAAGAATGAAAAGGAGCTGACCATGATACAATAACGATGCTTTCCCTCACATGGACTGGAAGTGATGACTAGCTCTGTAGAATACACATGGAAAACATGTCTTCCTGGAGTCAGTGAAATGGAAAATGCTCTTCTTGGAACCATTGAACCATTATGCTATGTGTGTGTGTGTGAGGGAGTGTCATGTACTCACAACTAGTTTAGACTGAGATTAACTGATGTATTCAAAAGCACAGAAGGCATTTACTCAGCAGGCTTTGCTGAGAAAGCTAGGTTTTGCAGGCTGAACCCAGCCAGCATCAAGGCAGGCTCGTTCCTGGCGTGTTTCTTTGCAGCAGTACACTCTTGCAGGTGATATTCCAGTGGAGTTCAGCACATGAAATGAGTTTCCTGAAGAGTGGAAGAAGAAAGGTTGGGATGGAGGTGACGTTGTTTCTCTGCTGCCAGTGACATCTCCATTAGCAGCTGAGACTCCAGATGCTGCGGCTGCATCTCCTCCAGTGATCCTGGGTTCCTCTCCTTTTGTCCTTTCTTTGTTAAGATAGGGCGCACTTATGTAGCCGGGGCTAGATTAGCACTCACTACGTAACTGAGGATGACCTTGAACTCTGAATCTTCCTGCCTCTACTTTTCAGTACTGGGGATCAAAATCAGTGCTCCATATGGCTAGGCAAGTGCCCTAGCAACTGAACTCCATCCCAGGCGTCTTGCCCTTTTACCTCGGGAATTGTAAAGGCTTCCTCCTTTGCTATGTCTGGGTAGCCCTCCCTACTGTGGCTTTCCAACCTGCCTGTCACCCAAGTACCCAGCTTCTTATATTAAAATCTCTCTGCCGCCTTGAAGCAGTGATGGGATTTTGTTTCCCTTAGCAGAACTTTTAAAAAGGCTGTGTGCTGAGTCTCAAGCTGAAGGTTATTGTACCAAGCCAGAGAAATGGGAACTCTGGCGGAAGATGAATGAGACTGGAGAGAAGGCTGCCTCCCCGGTCACCCCAAGCACAGAACACAGTGAGGAGACAGTAACATACAAGGAGACAGTGATGCCCACTGGAAAAGGTAGCTGGCATGCACCCTGAGCAAAGGGCGTGTGGGAAGGCTCAGTACTTCCCTTTCCTGGCTGTTGCTTGGAGGGCTCAAAGGCAAATCAGTTCAGGGGGAAGTGGCCAATGCATGTTACCTTCTCATCTGTATCAGCTACTTTTCTGTTGCTGTGAGAGAACACCATGACCAAGGCACCTTATAGAAGGAAGTTTATTTGGGTGTATGGTTCCAGGGGACATGGCAGGGAAGCAAGCAGCAGACCCAGCAGCAGCAGGAAGCTGAAAGCTCACCATCCTCCACCATGAGCTTGAAGCAGAGACAGAAAACTGGAAGTGGTGGAGGCCTTTTGCTCTCAAAGCCCGCCCCCAGGGAGTACTTCCTCCAGCAAGGCCACTCCTCCTAAGCCTCCCCCAAACAGTGCCGGCAGCTGAGGTCAACTGTTCAAAGCCTAAGACTATAGTGGACATCTCATTCAAACCACAACATCCAACTCCTCATTCTTCATACACCCACATGCCTGCTGGTTACACTGGGTGTTCAGACACCTTTCAGGCACTGGTTCATCTCAGCCTGGCAGAAGACTTTGCCTCACCCAGATGTGCTGAACTGGGAGATGATGCAGCAAACAGAGGAGCTTTAGAATACCTCCCTCTGGTGGCATTCTGAAGGGGGTGGAGCTGTCAAGACCATGAGTGAGATTTAAAAATGGAAGTGCGGGGGTGTGTGTGTGTGTGTGTGTGTGTGTGTGTGTGTGTGTGTGTGTGTGAATGGAAATGGACAGCCAAAAGGAGTAAACATTTGTGATTACATGGTTTTTTGTTTTGTTTTTCTGGTAGGAAAGCCTTGACCTTCCTTTGTGAGGAAGGGCTCCTACTCTCAGCCTACATGATTTGGGTAAGGTTAACACAACCCTGTTCATGGGAGGAGGCACAGCCTAGTCAGTCCGTGGGTGGCCAAGGTAGACACTGTGCAAGAGGAAAACTCTGCCTTATCTGTGCTGATGTGAGGATGCAAGTCTGGAACTTCTAGCACTCATCCTGCCGTCAAGGAAGGAGAGCACTCAGGCTGTAGCTGAGACCCAGGAAGCAGAGAGAGAGAGAGCACCAAGGTCCAGTGACACTGTGGAACTGCTGCATCAACTAGGCCCCAACCCAGGACTATCTTCTAGGAATTTCTGTTGTGCCTCCCAGTAAACCCCTTTCTCTAAGCCTGTCTGAGACGCATTTTCTCTCCGTCTCTTTCTCTCTCACACACACTGAAAGATTCCTATGGGGGACATCTCTGTGTTCATAGAGAGTCATTCATATATTATCATTTTGTCCCTCCCTTCCTTCTTTCTTCTATGAAAAAATTGTAACCACTATTCAATACATCTATGTATTCACACACATCTTGGCACCGAAAAGCACTTCCATTTGTCAAATGGGGAACTTAAAACACCACTTGTCTAAATGAAAAGCCCTCTGTCATTGCTGCATGCAGGCCAGGGATGGCAGGATTTGGTTTCAATACGCTTTCTTAATTTTCATAGTACAGGGTGTTAGATACATCATTAACTCAAATCTGATTGGTTCTAGGTTACTACCCATACATATGAGGAACTTAGGAATGATACTCGAAGGTTTTTTTTTTTAATCAAAACCAAAAAGGTCTGGGAATGTTGCTCAGTTGGTAGACTTCTTTGTCTAGTATGCACAAGGCTCAAGGTTCAATCTCCAAAACTGAGAAAAACTAGATACAGTGGAGCATGCTTGTAATCCCAGCATTTCCAAGGTGGAAGCAGAAAGATCAAAGTTCAAAGTTCAGGGTTATCCTCTGCTACATAGTGAGTTCAAGACTTAACTGGGCTACAGACTTGGAATAGAATAGAGGAGAACAGAATAGAAAATGAAATAGCTTATTACATGGTTGTTTAAAACCCACAGATATTTATTAATACTTAACTAGTGAAGTTTACTACTCAGAATGTGTTGGCAAATGTCTGACTGTCACATAGGTTGGGCTGAGAAGCACTTAGGACTTTAGCAAAGCTCACCTCTGGGTGAGGATGTTCAAGACAGGATAAACAAGGAGGCTGACTCATCCTAAAGGCTGGGGCTTGGGAGGAGCAGGAGGTAAAGGGGAAGCAGACGGAGCGCTCTCCTCCCGTGCTTCCAGACTGCCATCTGTGAGCCGTGCTGGGCCTCCAGAGAGATGGAAACCTCTAACCCTGGGAGTGAACAATGCTTTCCTTCTTAAGTTGCTTCCCTAGGTGTTTTGTTATGGTGATGGCAATCTGGGAATCCAACAAAGAACATCGAGCGCCTCCTCCTACACACGCCTCGGGGCGTGGTCAGTGGGCGTGGTCAGTAGTGTGGGCATCAGCACAGCCTTCCTGTTTGTCTGCTGCTTTGAGCTGGCCTCCTAGTGATGCGTTCTTGTTTATGATTCAACCTTAAAGGAGATGATTGCTGTGTTGCATGAAGTTGACTGATGATCTGAAATTTTCTTAAAGAACAACTGATTTCTTCGTCTTAAAAAGGATGCTCCTGAGTCTTTTCAGTGGACTCTTCAGTTTTGTGAATTAACAAGCCACAGAGTTCTAGACTAGGGATATTTTGTTTCAACCTCAACCATGCTCCAACTTTCCTGGGCGATGAAACACAGTTATGTAAGTATACAATGGCCATTGTGGATAAGATGATGAAAAACTGTCCCTGCCTTTAGTCCCTGTCAAAGAAGAGTCTGCTGTCTGTTACTGTACTTCCACTTTCTCTTCAGATCCAAGGCAAGAGGCTGGAGGTCAGAGGCAAGTTCTGAATGGCATATTTCTTTCACCTCATGTACACTGATGTTATTCATACCCCCCCCCCCCCCCCCCCGGGTCTATGTAACCCTGGCTATTTTGGAACTCACTCTGTAGACCAGGCTGGCTTTGAATTTACAGAGATCCACCTGCTTCTGCCTCCCGAGTGCTGGAATTAAAGAAGTGCACCACTACGCCCAGCTGTTACCCATTCTTATTGGTGTTGATTTTGTTTTCCATCCAATCATTCAGATTCTTTGAGATAAGGCCACATAAAATATCGATTTTACTATGATTCCATTGATAAAGCTAGTAAAAATAGCTGCATTATACATTTCCATTTTTGGTGAGGGGAAAGGACATGGACCCCTCCCAGCATGATTAGAAGGGCAGGAGAAATGAGAGTGGTTCCTTTTTCTTAGCCACCTTGGTTCTGCAGAAGGCTGTGTAAATATACATAGTCAGATGTGTTTACTGAGCTGTGTTCACGCAGCCTGTAACCAAATGCCACATATCAGGGCAGAAAAACGACCAAAGTGCCTAAAAATTAATCAGGTATCCCCAGCATTTAGTGAGAGTTATGCATTTAAAATTTTATTATTTTATTTTTGTGCATGAGTGTGTATGTGTACTTGCATGTGTGTACATGTTGATGTGTGTGTGTGTGTGTGTGTGTGTGTGTGTGTGTGTGTAAGCCAGACGGTGACCGCAGATATTCACTGTTCACTTCTATTAAGACGGGCTCCCTCACTGGTCTGGAGCACACTGTCTAGGCTCGGTTGGCTGTGTGCCTCCTCAGAGCTAGGAGCAGTGGTGTGAACCACCCGCTTCTCACAAGAGTGCCGAGGACTGAAGTGTCCTCCTACTTTTGCCACAGTCACAGAACTAACCCAGCTGCCTCCCGAGTCCTGCACATAAAATTTCAAGCATACACAAGCTTTCTCAGTGAATGGAAGAACACTGAAAAGAGACGAGTCTGCATTCTACTATTATCTAAAGCTCCCTGCACAACATGGTCTCACGGGGGCTGGCAAGATGGCTCAGCAGCTAAGAGTGGTACTCACTGCTCCTTCAGAGGACCTGGGTTCAGGTCCCACATCAGTTGGGTCATGACAGCCTGTGACTCCATCTCCAGGGCATCCTCCAGCCTTGGCAGGCACCAGCACACACACATACATATCCACACACATACACATAATTAAAAAGTACAAAATAAATCTTTAAAAAAAGAGTGATTTGTGTGTATGTACCCATTGATATTAACATTGGTTATCCTAACTGTAATGCTGTATGACTTCATACAAGAAAACCACTTCTGAATTTTTTAACTATTTTTTTTTACACATGGAATTACACACAATACAAAATACTTGTATTACAAGTTGAAATCTTTACATTCGTGGATTCAGGACAGCAATGCAGGCAATACCAGCACTTCACTTGGTGACTCATTTCATTGGGCTGAACACAAAGCCAAGAAGGAATTATTTGCCTACATTACTTTCTTGTCTCTGAATTTAAAAAAAGAAAGAAAAATGACTCCTACCTTCTCTGTTATATTGTCAGAATGATAAACAATGTCAGCAATTAAGTAGTCTGGCGTTTCTAGAAATGGGAGTTTGGATCCCAATAGCTCTTACGTTGTAAATCTTCAGGCGCTTACTAAGTTTGTCTATCAAATTGTCATTATCTCAGCTTTCAGGAAAATTACGTCATCTTTGGTAATCGGCTGCCAACCAACAGAAACTATAGATTACACCATCCCCCCAAAGAATCCTGTATTTTAATGAATAGCTGAATAAATAGAATTAATTATGAAATTCACATTAAGATAGAAGAAAAACCAACCATTCTGTTTGCTTTGCCTCTTTGAACAACTGGACAGCTGTTACAAAATGTACTATTCGTGTTAGGGTGAAAACAAGCTGAATTATGGGGGCTGCAACTGAGAAATCCTGCAGATATGTACAGTAATCTGGAGGAGCTACAAAATAACCTGTTTATATACACACTGTTTTCCCTCTCTTTCTGCATGGAGAAACATTGTTTTGTATAATGGGCAAACACCAGAAGAACACGTGCTACGAGGACCCATACAATGTGCACAGCAGAATAATCAAATAAGACAAGAGAACTATGGGCGTACTAAAGAATTTAGAGCTGGAAAACACACCAGCAGGGAGGGATGGAAACCTGGAATGCTTTCATGTTGAGGTTTCAGAACATAAATTCATCTCACAAGCCTCTTGGTAGTTCTTAAAAGTTTCCACTCCATCACCTATGGTTTAAGTGTAGAGCTAAAAATAAACCATCGTATTATACAAAACTTTGTATATTAGCATACAAAAGGTAACAATTTACTTTTTGTATAAAATATAACCTTTCGATAGTATATTTATTTCACATATGTATAAATATAATCCAAAGAATATGTTTTAAGTATTTCTACCAAAATATTCTTTACAAAAGTTTACAAAAACAAGTAATTTATTAATATTTACAAATCAGCACAGGAAAGATTCTGGGCCAGCGATATTGGTGCAGCGGAAAAGAAGGAGAGAGACTAGAAGAGGGCCTTATGGAGCTTTAAAAACGTGTTCCTTTTCTGAACAGATTTGTGAAGATTTGGTGCTTCAAATGACTTGAGTTAAATCACACTTGATATTTAAGTGTGTGAATGTATATAACTCAAAGGTTGAGAGTAGCCTTTGATCCTCTGGATTTAGGAAAGTGGTGGTGGTATCTTAGAGCCATCTCAAATCTGTACATTTCCTCTGCTTTGCAGTGGACATAGATGTGGGCACTGAGATTCAGTGACCCAACAAAAACCCATGCTGTGCTATAGCACTCAGCCCTGAGGGAGGAAACCTGGGTAAGAAGGGCCCAGGCACCGTACGGCAAAGATTCACCGTATCATGAGTGGAATGAGTGGATGGCTACATACAGACCACACTGGGCTCAGCTCTTGACCCAAGTACAAGTACTATGTCCAAGTAAGGCTCTATTGTCTCTCAGTTATGTTTTCCTCTAAACTCTGTGAAATAGCTCTGTGCCAACTCTCATACCCTTCTCCTGTTTCTTATCTCCAGTCAAAACAGGACACTCTTAATCTTCTCACTCTGATCCAAACTTTCATTTTTTTACAAACAAGTCTCAGGCTACCAAAAAATAGGAGGATAAGGCTCAATTTCATTCTGCTTGGGAACAGGACAGTGGGCCTCAGTCACAGCTAGAAACACCTCTGGGTATTTCTGCCCATGCTTGTCTCCTACACGGCAAGATTCGATTTTTTGGAGTGAAATTTGATGTAGGCAACTGTGCACTGATATTTCAGTGTGGTCAGGACAAGTCCTGGTTGTTCTACAGAAATCAGTAGGGAAGCCCCATACAAGTTGTAAGCCCTGCATTCTTCTTTTATCTCAAGACACAGCATCCCCCCAAAATATAAAATGTGGGAAAATTACAAAAATGAGGAGTGCATCTAGGGAAGAAATCATAGAATCTGCTGGAAGGCTTCTAGGTTCTCTGGTTCTCTCTTGCTCCAAACAACCATATAACATTTCAATCTTTCCTGCAAGTTTTAGGAAAAGTAAATGGAAAGATAGTGGAGAAATCAAAGCATATTTATCTACTAGAGCAGACGACAGTCTGCTGCCTGTTGCTCAGAACAAACACCTGTCTACGATATGGGACTGAAACAAGTCTCAAGTTCCATTATATTTCCTTCACCGGGAAAAGGAGCTTGGGAAGACCATTTTACATAGTTAATTACACATCAGCATCACAGTTGTGTTTGGATAAACTAGATAACACGTCCTGATGTTCAGGCAGGGAAAAAGGATCCCAATGTTTTAATATCAGGCTCGAGATTTTTTTAAACAAGCACACGAACCAGAATGTTTATCATTGTGGTTACTGCCGGCTTTCCGTTTTGATGCCTGTAGAGCACCGGATGTCAACAGTTTGGCATTACAGTGTCCTTGGAAAGCACTGCTTGAAGCCTGCAAACCACCTCCCTTTTCTCCTTAGGAATTGCTTCCCAGGATTTCATCAAGGTTGATGTCTTTCATCCAGTCGTCATTGCCAGGCTCTGTCTTCAGTAAAGAATCGATGAAATCAGCATCACTGTTTAGCGCAGGGCCCATGCTGTCAGTCTGTTGGCTGAGGAAGTCAAAAGCTAAATCGCCGCTGTGGTCAGTTCCTTGAAAAGCCCTGGAACTTTGGTTGGATGAAGGAAAAGTGTTGGGAGCCAGGGATGGTGGCTGGTTGGTGCCTGTCCGCGGCTGATTCAGTCCTGTTCCTGGTGGACTCATATTAGAAAGACTCTGTGAGCCCAGCTGGTTAGGTCTGAGGTTCAAACCCCTGAGTGGACCAAGCGTTTGCCCATTCAGTGTCTGATTCATTTGGTTCATAGGTCTCATTTGCACTGCTGGCGTTAATTGGCTAGGGGGTGCCACGGCCCTCTGGGAAAATGGCTGGCTCCCCACTCCTGGTTGCAGTGACTGGTTTGGGGTGTAAGCTGCAGGTGTCCCTGTTGGGAAGCGGGCACCTGTGGATTTGAGGGCTTCCTGTTGTTTGGTTGTTACATCTTGGGAAGCCCAGTTTGTTGCTGTTGTGTTGGATGTGATCATGACAGTTGATGACCTCTGGGATGGCATGCCTGCCAAACTGTGGGCCAAATTTGGCCTTAATTGTTGTGAACTGCCAACAGATGCAGCTCCAAAGGTGGCCACGCTGTTGCTGTTAGTTGCCCCTAAGGGAGATGGCCGTGACATCAGAGGGTTGTTCTGACTCGTCATCAGCTGGGCAGTGTTTCTCTGTTGGGTCAGCTGATTCATTGCTGAAGTGACATTGTAGGTGCCAGGCTGGTTACAAGGCAGGTTTCCATACATCCCCATGTTCTGAACTGCTGTGGATAACAGTGGCATTCTCATCCCGTGAGATGTAGACATGAGGCTGGAGTTTGGAGTTAAAATGGTGTGTGTTGAAGCTGGGTTTGTCAAAGCCTGGTTAGAGTTTAAATTCACTGTGGAGGAGCCACCTAAGGCAGAGAAGAGAATACATTCATTCATGACAGTATGGCATCTCCTGGTGCAGCTTGCAAGAACTTATTGTTAGGCAAATAACATATGAAACATACTGTGTAAAAAGAACACAAGAGATTTGGGATAAAACATTTCCCTAGGCCACTCCTAGGTTAAGAGTTTTTCATATCACAGAAAGAAGACTGAAATAGAGTGGTTCTATCTTATAGTTTCTATTTTGTCTTCTGAAGTCATTGAGGTGTTAATCTTTCATTTTGAATTACTTTTATTATGTTCCAAGTTCGAAGACTACAACTTTGATTAGCTAGCTGTCATGAAATCCAGGTTACTCTTCACCCCAGGGTCCAAATGAGAAATTGGGGATAAATCCTATTCATGACTACTACACTAATATTCCTGACTCTCAGCCTGGAAAACCATGTCCCCTTCTTTATCTGCATCATTCTCACTCAAGAAGAGGCTATGAGTGACTTCCCTGCATCCGAAGGGCAAAGTCTCACCTCTTTAAGAATCCTGAGTTGGATGTAATCTGTGCTCTGGTGACTGTTTCCGTGTGGGAAGCCTGCTGGAAGGTGTGCACTTACTACTGTACTGCTATTGAATACCCCACCAGCCACCTTTGTTCATCTCTCTCCCGCTCCCATGATGCCCCTTAGCCCCCCCCCCCCAACCCCTGCCCCGACCCTATATTTTCTTCAGGCCAAGCCTGAAGCTCTCATTTGAAGGTTTTCCTAATATCCTAGTCTCATTTTTTTGCAGGCCATTTTCTGCTTGATTCTTCCATTGACCACTGACACAATCCACCAAGCCTCAAGAGGGCTGCCAGTTAAACTGATGCCTGTCAACACTTGATCGAATATGGGGCAATAACTGGATCCCAGGCTGCTGGACAAGATGGCTCCATACAACAGACAGTGACTAATAGATGCCCTGAAATATCCCTGGCTCAGTAAGGTAGAAGTCACCTGAGAAATCAGCTTAAGAGGCAAAAATGGAGGGAGAAGGTACCTTAAACAACAAACTTCACAAGGGTAGGTAGACAACAAACTCCACGAGGGTAGGCATTTCCTCTGGTTTTTGTTTACAGTTGTATTCCAGGTCTAGTGGCTGACAGAGTTGGTGTTCAACTCAATATTGAATGATTTAATGAAGGAGATTGAAGGAAGGACAAAACCCAGAGAAAGATAACTCTCATGAAGATATTGAAGCAGAGCTATACACACATGTATGAAATAAGAGTTATGTGAAGAGCGTGCCCACAAGTGACCACTTAGGATACCCCTGTTGCTATGATGCATAACCCAAAAGTCAAGGCCAAGCTAACACTGTAGTTTTTCTCTTTACTGCAAGAAACATTCTCATCTAGACCACATGCTCCTCCAAGGCAGGAGAGTTTCTTGTACCTCCTTTCACAGGATCCTCTACTGTCTAGCGTACATAAGAAGTTTTAAGTTGGAGATGTAGCCCAATGGGAAAATGCTTGCCAAACACAAGCAAGACCCTCAATTTCTCTCCCCACCAAAAGAACTATTTCTGGACTATTTCTGAACTATTTCTGTTAAAATTTAAAGGAATATGAAAGAGTTTGTTTTGTTGTTACTTGTTTTATTCTCAGAGGGCATATGAAGTAAAATACCCCAGAGCAGTGACTCTTACCACTGGGGGTTGGCAGCGGTAGGCAGACTTTTCTCAGGAAATGCACATTTTATTTGGAAGGAGCTATTGGGTGGGTATCCTTGTCCTGTCCCTGTCTTCCTCTGAACCAGAGCCTCGATATTTACAGCAATGTGTCCACGTGACAAAGCACAAATCCTGAGTCTTCTTGCTGATGGAAAATCCGTGGGAACGCATTCTGGCTAGAAGTGAAAATGAGTGGGCAGGAGTCCCAGAAGTCTGCTTTATAAGGAGGCGTGGCCCCTCCAGGAAGCTACTTACCTTTTCCCCTTTCCTCTCCCTGCCTGCAAAATGGGCATGGAAGTTCCTGATGTGGTGGCTACAGGGCTGCCCTGAGGATGGGAGCCACATGCTAAGGAAGCAGGAAGAAGCCTGGACTCTGGTGAAACTGTGGAGAGGTCAGTTCTGGACTCCTATCCTCCGGATTCTTGTACAAGAATGGGAAAAGAAACCTTTAACTCCTACCTGGAAATGTGTATACTATTTCCAACTGTTCCCAGGCTCCCTAAGGCCTGTTGATTGCCCATGGCATGAGGCCATGCTCCACATCAGATCTCCACTGTCTTTGAGGACAACCAAACTGAGAACACAGTCTTTGCATTTAAACAAAATCATCTCAAAAGATGGAATACATACTCCTATTTCTAATTTCAGTGGAGAGAGACAACCAGTTGCACTTTCAGACATTTAAAAGAATTACGGCAACCTATTTAAAGTATTTGTAACAGGACAGAAGATAGGAGTGTCCACAGCCTCTCGCTTTTTAGAGAATATTCTTGATGACTTCTCGGACAGCTGTAGACATGTAAAGAAAAGAAAGTGGAGAAACTGAAGACACTGCCTTCATGTAACAAGAGAAACCCAAGTCATTGGCGGCAGTGTCTGGGATAGTGGCTGCAAAGGAAGGAGCGGGAACAGCGTGGGCTGTTTGAGGAAGGTTCTTCGGGGTTCAGAGAAGAAATTTTATCACCCTGTTTCATGAGAAAGAGAGTGAGTAAAAAGCTCTGTTTTGTGACTTAAATAGAACAGAAATATGATTTGCTTTTAATTTTTCCTTGTTGACAGGGTGATTTGTCTTTCAAGGAGAATACTTGGGGAGATGGGCTCAGAGGTAGAATGAGGAAAAATGAAGTTCTATGCAAGTTTCCATGTGATGTTCTGAAAGGAGCTATTTCTACTTAACCTTGTACTGCCTGGGCCAAGGTCACCACGAGGAGGAGGAGGAGGAGGAGGAGGAGGAGGAGGAGGAGGAGGAGGAGGGAGAGTGAAGACAGCAGTTAGAAAATCTTCAGGTTTTTTTTAAATTCTCACAAGTAATTGGGAAAATAGTGGACATGTGAGCACAGAGCATAGAGAGTAGTGAACATGTGAGCACAGAGCACGGAGAGTAGTGAACATGTGAGCAGAGAGCATAGAGAGTAGTGAACATGTGAGCACAGAGCATAGAGAGTAGTGAACATGTGAGCACAGAGCATAGAGAGTAGTGAACATGTGAACACAGAGCATGGAGAGTAGTGAACATGTGAGCACAGAGCGTAGAGAGTAGTGAACATGTGAGCACAGAGCATGGAGAGTAGTGAACATGTGAGCACAGAGCATAGAGAGTAGTGAACATGTGAGCACAGAGCATAGAGAGTAGTGAACATGTGAGCACAGAGCATAGAGAGTAGTGAACATGTGAACACAGAGCATGGAGAGTAGTGAACATGTGAGCACAGAGCGTAGAGAGTAGTGAACATGTGAACACAGAGCATGGAGAGTAGTGAACATGTGAGCACAGAGCATAGAGAGTAGTGAACATGTGAACACAGAGCATGGAGAGTAGTGAACATGTGAGCAGAGAGCGTGGACAAGCAAGAACTCATCACAGGACTAAGTGTGGCCTTTTTGAGGGTGGAGGGATAAAGACAGAATATCACACCATAATCTGGGCCAGCCTGGAATTTACTATGCAGCTCAGGCTGGACTGGCACTCACAGTGGTCCTCCTGCCTCAGGAGTGCTGGGATCATGGTGTAAGCTGGGGTTCTCGATGTTGTTTGGACTTGAGTTGTGTGGAGTTAGTGGGAGGTTTGGCAAGGTGGATTACCCGGATGGGGAGAGAAACAGTAGAAACACAATAGTTTTTCTTTGTCACAGTTACGGTTTGCATCAGTTTCGAGAACTCTTACCAGAATACTGCGCAACTGGCTGCAGGCTGCCTGGATTTCTTCTTTGGTCTTTGTAGTCCGGGGGCGGCCTTGTCAGATGCCGGCTCATCTGGTCCTGAGGGGAAATTTTCTCCTTGAAAATACAAATGAAAACATTGAATTGGGTGAACACTTTTTCATTTACAGAAGTCTGTATGACATTTCAAAAAGGTACAAATACAAGAGCAATTTTGTCTGGGCATGGTGGTGTGCGCCTGGAATCCCAGTACTCTAGAAGCAGAGGCAGGAGGGTCACAGTTTGAAGCTAGTCTGGGCTATCTAGTGAGAACTTGCCTCAAACAAACTGAACTATTCCGCACCATGGGTTTCAGATTCTGATTTATTGGGTAGTGAAAATTCAGAGACGGATCTTCTGATTGGAATCACTTCCACAGATTTCAGCACCTGCTTTGTGTCTACTGAGCATGCTCGTCTCCTTCATTTTGTAAATAGACTTCAATTATAACGAAATGTCTGTGGGTTTGGGGGTGGCACTTCGTGTTTTATGTTGTAGCATGTCTGATGAGTGTTGGCATCTATATGTAACTCTGTCATCATAGACTTTGGAAAATAGTTTTTGAGATAAAATGGAGAACACCCGGGCTTTCAGTGATTTGATCTGGCAGTTCTGCCTCCTCTCCTCGGAAGAGATGTCAAGAGACTTAGTGGAAGTATGCTTCCCTTCTACCTGCGCTTAACAAATCTTCGAAGGTAACCGTAGTTATTGTCATGTAAAAGAGGACATGCAAGTTGCATTAGGCTAAGGAACTTGCCCAAAGCCACACAGTAATACAGCAGATGCCAATTCCGGAGTTAGGAACTCAGGGTCCTTCATGTCACTCAGTACAAAGACCTTCTCAGTGTCCTGTTTGAAAAACAGAATGTTCCAGAATCAGCTACCTTTAGATTCTTTTACAGGTGAGTTTGGGTGATAAGGGAGGAAATAGGGACATCTGTTGACTTTGGTCAACGCCTTGGCTGACCTTCAGGAACATCCCCACCACTGTCATTACTTAGAGCAGCAAGGAGCAATGAGGAGCCACAGCTGTCTCTGGATGGCTGTGAGAGAGCCAGGTGATCTAGCAAAGTGGAGTCTTGTCCTCGACTGATGGAAGTAGCTGTTACCCCATAGCTGGAGAGGGGATCACACAGTGACCTTGCTTGTTTTCAGATAAAATTACAAAGCAGCCTGTTTGATCTTAGTTTATCATGACGTCAGAAAAGCCCTGTCTGAGGTTGGCATGTGTTAAGACTGTATGTTATACAGGGAACAAGATGCCCGGCTATGCCCCTCCTACCAGCTCGAGATGGGGATTCCTGCCTTTTCTCTTTCTTGGTGTGCTTTGGAAACTTTCTGGAATGACTTCAGTGTAATTCTGTATACACTATAAAGCAATATCCATTTTTAAAGATAAGAATAATTGGCATAGGTAGAGACTGAGGACTGTAATTATAGGAAAGTCAATACACGGACAACTGTAACAGACAGATGAGGCCATTAGCTGGAGCCAAGCGTGCGTTTGCACCACTCAGACTCCTCACAGCTTCTGCCCAGCTCTGAAATTTCCTAGTGGGATGTGTGTTCTCTAAAAGGGGCAGGAAAGAGCCTTAAAATAACAACAAACCAAATCCATTTCTTGTTTCTAAGAAAAAAACAAACTTGAAAGACTCATAGAGTGTTTTTGGACACCAAGTAATTCATATAAAACACAATTTTGATGAGCTAAGCGTAAATGAATCAGAAACATATGGATTATGTTTCTTCTTTAAACTTGGGTTTACAAATTAAGGGAAAAACTGGTCAGTGAAACTCTTTTTTTTTTTCGGGGAGGCACAGCCCAAACCCTAATTGTTTAAGAAAGAGTCTGGGGTCTTCCACCAACCCAATGTGGCTGTGAGTGAGCAACCTGTTGTAAACACTTGTGTAAACTGACAGTTCTGATTTTTAAGCCAAGAATGGGACTTTGTGAAATCTCTTTTCCAAGAAGCATTTTTCATGTGTAATTAGGTGTTACTACTGTTTGTATGATGACAGTGCTTGTGCGCGTGTGTGGGTGCGTGCCTGTGTGTGTGTGTGTGTGTGAGAGAGAGAGACAATTAGTCCTTTATTCCCAATCACACACTGTATTTCAAATCGAGATTTACTCAATATATCTTAAGCAGTTGACCTTTTCTCTTTCCAACAGATCAGTTCATTTGTTCAAAGCCTTAGCATATACATCTCTGAAAGCCCAAGTTTCTTAATACTCTACGTTTCCCAGCAAATTAGATCAAAGAACCTTGCCTATAGATATAACATAGACTTGTCACACTACAGACCAGTGAAGTCTGGACTCCAGTACTGATGGAGGATGCTGCAATCAAGCTCCAGTGTAAATTCACACCTATCATGGAAATCACCTCTGTGTAAAATGAAACAAACTTTTCATCATGGCCCAACCTCTCTTGCTTCAGTGATATCTGTCTTGCTTTGGTTTCCTTAGCCATAACAATGTAACATTTAGGAAGTTGTAGGATCTCTTTCATATTCCTCGTGTAAGGATGAATCCTTTTGTACTGCAGAACCTCAGCATGGTGCCTGGCACGCTGGAAATGTACGTGTTAATAATGATGATCAGTGTAATAACTGCTACTCATCTCACTTGTGTGTGTGTGTGTGTGTGTGTGTGTGTGTGTGTGTGTGTGTGTGTGTGTGTTTCACTGGTGGGAGAATGGTAGAGAGTAAGTCTAACAAACTTTTATGAAAAAGACGCCTCTATTTTGGTGCCCATCTGGCCTTGCCAAGGCCTTCAATGACTACAAAGCGTATGCTAATGTAAAGGGGCATCAAAGACTCCTTCTTCCTGGATATGCTAAGGAGCGTAGGCACCCTCGATGGCATCCAGACAAAGAGAAGTGTGGAGGCTTTGTGACAACCCCAGAAAGTGCAGCTCCCTTCTCATTCATCTCACCACTGCCCTTTGCACCTGTCCAGTCAACAGCGGCTCAGTGGGAGCCAGGCAAGCACCACTGCCAGGCCCCCAGGAATGTGTGTCTCGCTTTTAATCAGGGGCTTTTAATTGAAGCAGAAAACCCGGAAACTCCATCTTGTAAAACTAATCAAATTTGCAGTGTCCAAGGAAATAACAAAAGTCTTGCCAGGAAGTCCATTTGAAATGGCACGTTCTCTCCTCTTCACCCTTGTTTCTAGGCTATTCAGGTTATAAAGATAAAAGACAGGGAGGAGGAACAGGTGTGACCCCAGATTTCAGACACCTGGAGCATGAGGGCTCACACTTGTGTTTCCTTTAAAGACACATGTGACTGCTACATTTGCTATTAGTTTTACCTAAAACTAACCAGTGAATACAAACCAGGGCTGCCTCTCTTAGTCTTTGGTCTGCTCTCTGCCTAGAATGGTGGACTCTATATCAAAATACTGTAGTCTTACCATGTCAAAGCCAAATTTGACCTCATTTTAGGAGGGAATTCGCCAGGTTTCCAAACTGGAACTGGACATTCTCTCCTACTGGCCTCTGTCTTTCATTGGATGCAAATCTGAACACATTGTTTCTTCTTTAAAATCAGTTGCCTTTTAGGTGATGTGACTTAGCAAGCCTCTTCCTCTGGCCTCAGTGTCCTCCACTCCTCCATCCTTGGCCACATTCTGGGCCTTGACAGTATGTCTGTCCTTTGTGTACCTGAGTCGTGAGTGTGCTGATCTCTGGACCAGGATGACCCCCTACTCTTCCTCCCAAATCCCTCCACACCTTCTGATCTTTAGTAGATGGAACCTTTTCTCTGATGCCATTTCTAGCAATTT